ACAATATTAATTTATTGTGTGCCAGGAGATGTGCACAAGTTGTGGGATCAGCATTACGATTCACTTTCAGAAGATTGTAGACGACAATGCGAGAGTATTGATCGAGTTCGGAATATGGTCCTAACTGATATCATAAGCTTTCTACAATCTATGAGTAAAAATCTTGATGATTTCGATCTTCCAAAGATAAATGTAGATACCAACTTACAATTTGGAAGTTTTTGTGAGGTACAAGAGGAATACTCCATAGTTGTGGAAGACGAACATTTACGTGTCTGAGACTCCCTTAATTTCTACCAAAAATACGCATACGATGAGATCATGAAGCACATAGACGATAATCGTTTAGGAGTGTTCTTTATAGATAGTCCAGGTGGGATTGAAAAAACATATTTGTACAAAGCACTGCTTGCCAACATTCATTCTCGTGGTCTCATTGCTCTCGTCACTGCTTCTTCGGGTGTTGCAGCTAATAATATGCCTGGTAGGAGACAACTCACTCCCTATTTAAGAATCCTCTCAATCTTGACAACAACTCCATGTGCAACATAAAAAAACAAAACGAGACTTCTTAATTGCTACGAGATGCAAAAATAATCATTTGGGACGAAGCGTCAATGGCTAAGAGGCAGGCGGTGGAGGCGCTTGATCGAACAATGCAAGACATCACAGGGGTGACACTCCCATTCGGTGGAAAAATAATGGTTATGGGAGGTGATTTTAGACAGGTCTTACCAGTCTTGAGACATGAAACCCGAGCACTGATTGTAGATTCAAGCCTACAAATGTCACCTCTTTGGTCTTCAATTAAAAAAATACGTTTAACTCTCAATATAAGAGCACTAAATGATCCATGGTTTTCAGATTTTCTATTACGAGTGGGTGATGGAGATGAAGAAATGATGAAAGAAAGCTTTATATGCATTCCTGATGACATGGCCATTGCCTATACTGATAAGATAAATCAAAGCATGATTTGATTGACGCAATATTTCCATATCTGCAAATCAACGGAGCAGATTCAGACTATATCATTTCGAGGGCGATATTATCAACAAAAAATGAGAATGTCAATGAGATTAATGATCAATTGATTGATAGATTCGGCGACGATGAAAAAGTTTACTACAGTTTTGATGAAGCAGAAGATGATAGAAATAACTTCTATCCAATGGAGTTCTTAAATTCACTGACTGTCAGTGGTTTGCCCCCGCATTACCTTTGGCTCAAAATTGGATGCCCAATAATACTATTGCGGAATATCGATCCCTTTAATGGCTTATGTAATGGCACTAGATTGATATGTAAAGGTTTTCAACAGAACGTAAACGATGCAGAAATAGATGTGGGTCAGCATGCTGGAAAGAGAACATTTTTGCCGAGAATTCCTCTTTGTCCATCTGAAGATAACATGTTCCCTTTCAGATTGAAGAGAAAATAGTTTCCAGCCCGGCTTAGCTTTTCTATGACAACCAATAAAGCTCAAAGATAGACCATTCCTAATGTAGGTGTGTATCTACCAGAATCAATATTCTCTCATGGACAACTTTATGTGACGTTATCAAGAGGGGCATCATGTGAAAATACAAAGATATTAGTAAAGCCTGCCAAATAAGGTACAAATATATTAGTAAAGTCTACACATCAAGCGTGGTGTATAAAGAAGTTTTACGTTATTAATAAGGTACAAACGAGTACTTATTATTACACATTTTTTTACATCTACGCTTGGTATATATATCTATTATAATCATAAGACATTTCTTACAGGGCATATCTACATATCGATGCTTCAAGTGGTATCTTCTCATACTCTATATGTGTCGATTTATATTATTTTAGATGATTATATCTCCATTTTGTTTAAACATGAATTTTGGTTTTTTTTATTGATCATGAGTTGCATTAAGTGAAAATCATTATTAAACAATCTAAGAATAACAATTGATATGTGTTTGGAAATCCGTTAATCGTGCAATTCTCTTTCCAAATCTCTGGTCAGTCAACCATTATAAAATTTGAAGTTTATAATGATCATAAACGTCATACCTTCGATTTACAAAAAAAAAACATTGCATTGCGCTGGCATCCAACTAGTATATCTATATATGAGCGATCAAATGCAAACCACCCCTTTTTGTGCAAACCCTACAAACCAATCTTATCCATCCTTTTTCTTAATCAATGGTCATGATTAAAATGTGTTATATTAAAAAAGTAAAAAAAAGTTTAATATTTAATCAAGAAATGGCAAAATTGGCAAACCATTTTTAACTTCCGAATTTGTATTAATTTGTAAAATAGAATAATTTTATTTCATCATTTTTAACTTTCTAATATATATTGATCCCTCTTTTATATATATATAGAGAGAGAGAGAGAGAGAGAGACTTGGGATCATGTGAGACCAATGGTTTTTCGTGAGACCCGTAAGACCAATTTTCAACCCTTGGATTAGATTTACAATCGTCAGATCTGAACATTTATAAACGCCACGAGACTTCTCACTAATTACGAAATTGCCAYCTTGCAACTTTGCAACCATTAGATCATTAATTCATAAATTTGATCAATGAAAATAAATTGGTCTTACGGGTCTCACGAAAAACCCTTGGTCTCACGTGAACCCAACCCTATATATATATATATATATATATATATTAATTTGGATATCCTAACATTAATGAAACAAAATCATAGTTTTAAAATCTCTATATACGGTTTTAACCAAAATTGTTAGGATAATCTGGGAAATTATATGTTGAAGAAATTTTCTCTTTATTTTATGACTAAATATTAGAAATTAAATAACCTTCATACTAAAAATAGAGCCAACTAAGGAACAATAAAACGAGAGATATCCTAATAAATGAAAAAACATAAAAATATACTTTAATCAACAATAAAGAATGAAACATTTTGAAAACTAAATGAAATATTTTGAAAACTGAATAATTTTATTTCATCAGTGAAACTGGTGTCATGACTAAAACCTGTTAGAAACAAAATAAAATGAATTCATTTGTGAAATTGAGTTCATGTTCTCAAAAAAGAATTACCCTCAGATTCATCTTCATTTGATCAAACATTATTGGATTTGAAAAACATTTCATTAGTGAAATTGGTTTTATGAATGAAATTTTTTTGCAAAATAAATAATACGATTTTATTAGTGAAATTGGTTTTATCAATAAAAACATTTTGGAAAATGTATCTCATTTTTTCATTAATGAAATTGGTTTCATTCTTCATCTGCATAATGAAATTTTAGCCAGATATGGTTCAGTCAATGGAACATTTTCCAAAAATCTGAATAACATGTTTTCGTTAATGAAATTTGTTTCATCATTGAAATTGGTTTCATGGACTCCACAATTTCAAAAACTATATGACATTGTTTCAGCAGCGAAATTTGTTGAAATGTTTCATAACCAAAATGAAATCGGTTTCATGGTTTCTAACCAAGATGAACTTGGTTTTACATATGAAACTTAATATTGTTCAATCAATGACACACTTCAAGAACTGAATAATAATATTTTATTCATTTTTAAATTTGTTTCATGTTTCCTAACAAAAATGGAATCGGTTTCATGGTTTATAGCCAAGATGAAATTGGTTTCATTAATGAAACCAAATATGATTCAGTCGATGAAACATTTCAAGACCTGAATACTATTATTTCATTAATGAAAGTAGTTTCATGGTTCCTAACCAAAATGAAATTAGTTTCATTTTTAAAACATTTTGAAAATTGTATAACATGGTTTCGTTAATGACATTTGTTTTACGAATGAAAATAAAACAATATAGTCAAAATCTGGAAAATATCACAGCTATTTTATTAATAAATCAGTAACTACTTGTGAATTGAAAAAAAAATACCGATTCTTTTGTTATTATGACAATGAAATAAATAATTTCATAAGAAATAAATTATTACAAATAGATTTTGTGATTGATGTAGTATTTTTAATTTAATGAAAGAATATAAAATATCAATGGTAATAATAATATATTAAAATCAATTGATTTACATTTTCCTCAAAACAGTTACTTTATTTAATCTTCCATATTTAAAAACAATTAAAACGTTACCAGATTATCTATTACAAAGTAAAATGACATTCATACCCTTATTCATTAAAACTAAAGAGAAAAACATGGAATTATTCTATTGGTTGATGGTGATTTCTATTGTTTGCATGAAATAGGAGGTTTGCAAAGTAACCCTCCCTGTCTCTCTGTATATATATATATATATATATATATATATATATATATACTAGTGGTGTACCCGCACGATACAGCGCGGGTAAATCACAATTCTTAAACATTAGTTTGGCCTTGAATCATGAGTTTGTGTGGTTGTTTTGCAAGTCAACTAATATATAAAGTTGAAGGTTAATACGATGTATTAGCAAGATCGCATGAAAAAATAATTACACACGTATTGGGTTTCTGAACCCATCTACCTAGAACTCATTATAAAACTTGAAATTCTTGACTGAACAAAGAAATACAATCGTTTTAAATAATGTTCATCCGTATGTCCAAACTGCTGTTTGTTTTTCGTGATGCACTCATTCGTATATATTTCCTGCAAAAAAAGGGCACAATGGTTTTAATAGAAACATATGGTACCAGATGTGTAATAATATAATTGTTGATTATACCCTATTCATCACGTAAAACTTCTTGATAGACGACGTTTGAGGTGTAGACTCCGGCATGATTGAATTTTTTAATAGGCTTCACTAACACCGTCGTATTGCCTCATGATATCCCTCTGGACAACGCCACGTAAAGTTGCATGCGTGAGAATACTGATTCTGGTAGATAAACACCTACATTCGAAATTGTTCGGCCTTGAACTATATGGATTGCCATAGAAAGCTAAGCCGAATTGGAAACTGTTTTCTCCTCAGCTTAAATGGGAACATGTTGTCTCCGGACGGACATAAGGGAATTCTCAGCTGAAATACTCTTTTTCCAGCATGCTAACCAACAACTATTTCTGCATCGATGACGTTTTGTTGAAAGCCTCTGCATATCAATCTACTGCCATTATACAATCCATTCAAGGGATCGATATTTTGTAACAGTATTATTGGGCATCCAATTTTGAGACGAAGATAATGAGGAGGCAAACCACTAATAGTTAAAAAGTTTAAGAACTCCAACGGATAGATGTTGTTCTTATCATCTTTTGCTTCATCGAAGCTGTAGTATATTTTTTCATCTCCAGAAATCTTGTCGATCAACTGATCCTTAATCTCATCGACATGCTTATTTTTAGTTGATAATATCGCCCTCAAAATGATATAATCCAAATCAGCTTCGTTGATTTGCAGAGATGGAAAGATTGCGTCAATCAACGCATCTTTTGACTTACCTTTATCAATATAGGGAATGGTCATGTCATCCGGTATGCGAATAAAGCTTTCGTCCATCGCTTCTTCATCTCCATCTGATATCGAGCATTAACCTTATCTTTTTAATCATTGACCAAAGAGGTGACATCCGTAAGCTAGAATCTACAATCTATGCTCGGGTTCCACGCCTCACGACTGGTAATACTTGTCTAAAATCACCCCCCAAAACCATTATCTTTCTGCCGAATGGGAGTAACACCCATATGATGTCTTGCATGGTTCGACCGAGCGTCTCCACCGCTTGCCTCTTTGCCATTGACGTTTCGTCCCAGATAATTATTTTTGCATCTTGAATCAATTGAGCAGCCCCACTTTGTTTTTTTATGTTGCACATTTATTTATTATCAAGGTTGAGAGGAATTTTGAATCTAGAGTGAGTTGTTCTCCCTCCAAGCATATTATTGGCAACAACACCCGACGAAGCGGTTGCTAGAGCAATAAGACCATGTGAACGATGTTGGCAAGAAAAGCTTTGTACAAAAATGTCTTCCCAGTTCCACCCGAACCATCTATATAGAACACTACTGGACAATCCTCGTCTACATGCCTCATGATCTCATCATATGCGTATTTCTGGTCGGAATTGAGAGAGTCTCGGTCACGCAAGTGTTCGTCTTCTACTACTATATAGCATTCCTCTTGTACCTCACAAAATTATCTAGATTGAAAATTGGCATTTGCATCTACAATTGGGAGATCGAAATATCAAGACTCTTACCCATAGACTGTAGAAAAATAAGGATATCAGTTAGAACCATATTACGAACTCGATTAGCACTTTCACATTGTCGTATATAATCTTCAAAAAGTGAATCATACTGGTCATCCCATAACTTGCGAACATCTCCTGGCTCATAATAAATCAACCTCGTAGCAAATAACATCCTAAGAGCAGTCGAAAATTGAAATAAGGAGGCATCTACAAGACATTGAGATAAGTTGTCATCGTTCTTTATTAAACCTCTCTCAGGAGATGCTTTGCGAAATGTATGGTGCAATAATCCGTTGGAAGTGTATAGAACTTCAAAGCAAGTAAGCCCAGTAATATGTGACAAAAGTAGGCGTAAGTAGAATCGCTCTCCTTCAGCTGGATTTGCAGACACAAGTTGGCCTTTCATTAATCCTCTTTGTCGGGGATTCCATCGACGTGTGCTCCAATTCCACGTGTAGTGTTTTGGAAAATCTTTGTACAAATATTGTCTCGCACTCATGTCTGTTCCATTCCTATCAAAAAAATGGAGTCAACATCGTTCGCTTAACTCTCTCTCTATCGACAATATCTGTCATCATATCGTCATCTCTAAACCTAACCATCTGTTTGTTACGGAGATGGAAAGATGGAGTTGCAACGCTATCACTTAAGGGTGCATTTGAGAAAGTGTGAAGCTAAAAATTTGCCATATCGCCTCGGGAGGGGAGACATAACGTGCATCTTAAAACCTTCTAATTTCGTTAATAACGAACCTTTCTTCCTAGAATCGATATGAACAACTTGTTTGTCGTGACCCTTGTGAACATACTTGAAGACATACTTCACAGATGTTATACTCGAGCAAGCCTCAACATTGATATGACAATTGAACATCATTAACAGCTTCTGGTTATACGGAACCACCCATCTATTATCTAGGATATTGCCTCATACATTCACATTTATTTCACTATTTCTCCTCGATATAATGGATATGAGTCCTCAGTCTACATCATCTTGTCGTTGAATTGTTTAGGATATCTGAAACGACATTTTTCGGCTCACCTTGCACACAAGGACTGGACGGTCATAAATGACCGCAAGAACCATGCATCATGTGTTGGATGACCAGTTCGTGCATTTGGGGATACCTAGTTGGATCTGGAATTTCAACACACACATTCTTTTCGTAAGGATATGAATTGGTCATTTTGTGTTCGAGTGTCATTATCAGAAGAAAATGTGCATGCGGCAAACCACGCTTCTGAAACTCGATGACATAGATATATGCCCCGACTTTACCAAGGATGTGCTTTTTAAAGAGTTGGTCTTTCATATCCTCTAGTTTCGCACGAAAAACTCTTGCAACAAAATTTGGCCGATCAGGTGCGGTCTGACCCGACAATAGTTCTTTAAGGATTTCAGGCCACTTTGGATTGCACGTCATTGTAAGGAATATATTGGGCTTCCCATCATCTTGCACTAAAGTCATGGAATCAATAAATCGTCACTGCATATCACGTGGTCCTCCGATGAAACTTGCAGGCAACACAACCCGTTGTCCGTTTCTACTTGGCATCACCTCATCGACATTGACGCAATCCATAACACCTTGGTATAAGTCTGCTCTTATTTTAGCTTAGTTTTTCTGACAAAAATCCAAACGTGAAGTCTCAATATTGATGTAGATATCTACCACGAACTGTTGTAACAACCTTCCCCCCAATAGAAGCACATTTTCATTCGAACGAATCTGGTACTTATAACAATAATATTCCCACATCGTCACAGTATTCTTGTTGCCTCTCATATCAACCTCTGCGTAATGTCTATGTTATGAAATAAATATAAGCTGATGACATATATGTTTAAGCAGATATTTGTTACCTTAATTAAAACGTAAATATTGCAACATGGTCTGTACCTTCTAAATCGTCCTCCATGTTTTCATCATCATTAACACTTTGATTCATGAACACTCCATGTCTAGGTATATTAGAATGCCATCCAGGTTCACTGTTGGGAATGAACAAAGGATAGAACAATAGGTCATAACAGTTGAAGTAATATTGAATATTTTGGCTATAATTAGACCTCCCACACACAACAATACTTCTCTTGTATGCAGCTATGTTGTCGTTGCCTTCAACCCAAATACCAGCAACCTAACAAAATTATAGAACTCAATTTATTTAGTGTATGTATCTAATTTTATTTCAAAAAGGATAAACCAAGTACTTGTATTCAAACCTATGATTTGGTCGGTCGGTTGTACACCCTTTGGTCAAGTTTCATTGAAGCATTCAAAGTGACTCTGTAGCTACCGAGTGGTTCGAGCTCACGAAGGCATCAAAATGTTCTCACATATGGATTCATAGAAAGAACACGAGTCAAAATGTCAATGCCATTTCTATCAAGATTTGGCCACTGGAGTCTATGCGATAAATCTTATTCTGAATCATAAAAGTACAACTGTAAGTACCTAGGTTGTCCATCCCTCGGCACTAACTGATCGATTTTATGATATACAGCTCCATGCGCACGAAATATATATACTCCGGATGTCATGTTTGTCATTGAACTATCCAAGTTTACACCCATTAACGTGAACGAAAAGTTCGTATTGTGTGCACGTAAGTTGTGCCTAAACATTTCGCCTAATTCAGATTGTAATGAGAAAARATTGTATAACTCCTCAGGAATGGGTGAGTATGCTAACTTTGBCTTCCCTTTCATGCAACAAAAGGAAGGGAATTCAATTATTTAAACCGGTTTGCTCCACAAAATTCACATGGATTTTGTTTCTTCAAGACACGATGTTTTCTAGGAATACCATTGTAAACAAAATCGTACGGATCCCCCAGGAGGATGTCATGTTGGCTCGAAGTATTGACATCGGCCCTAATACAACCTCCTACATGATAAGACACCTCAATGTTTACAATAGTAATTAATGATTTTTTCTCTTGATGATGTGAAATTTAAAAGTCACTCTAACTAACCTCTGAATACTTGATTGGTAACTTCATCAAAAAGAGGTAGGAGTATACCACGCTTACTTCGAATGCCTATGTAAATGAGATTTTAATTACTAAAATTGGTAAAACAATTAAAAAATGCACGGTTTTACCGTTGAAGTTTTCATGTGTCGTATCCGAACATATTGGAGTCGTTCCTTCTTTGCCTGTAACACTTGTTCCTTGTGTGTTAACACTTGTTCTATATATGTTATTATCTTTATTTCGATGATAATAATTTATGTTAACAATTTTTCTCTTCTCAGTAATAGTCACTGCACTGACAGGGGTTGTTTCATTGATGTTCACATGCAATGTCTCCAACAGGGTCATAGATTGACTAATTTCTTCACTGTTAGCTATTTTTCTCATTTTGTTCTTTTCCTTTTGTCGTTCATAATATTGTCGGTTGTATTCCTATTTTTTTGCAACAATATTGTTTTATATAAATATATATACAATTGAGTGAATATATATCACGATGATAATAATTAAAGTGAGTATTCCATATACCTTTTGCTATATCTACATCAACTTGCGTTACATCATTATTGCAATTTTTTCATCACCCATCCTCATCGAAAACTGTAAAATGATAAAAATAGAAAATGTGGTTCTGTGAAATAAAGTGTAAATGTTGGAATTCGAATGAACAAAGTTAGGGTAAGAAATTTCGAGAGTCTTTGGGATACCAAAAACCCAGATTAGGAGTACCCTTCAGATATATGAATATGCGTTTTATAGCTATCAGATGAGATTTTTTTGGGTTCAGATTGATATCTTGCACAGAGACAGGTTGAATACATGATATCAGGTCGACAAGCTGTAAGATACAACAAGGAGCCGATCATTCCTCTATAAGCAGTAACGTTTACAGGTTTTCCATTTGGGTCCTTGTTCGATGTTAGAAGACGAGCCATAAGAGTTTTCATAGATGGAGTGTTGGATAGATCGAATTTCTTCACATATCCTTGACATACTTACTCTGACTGATAAACATGCCTTTATTAGATTGCTTAATATGATGACCTAGAAAATATGTCAGTTCTCCCATCATGCTCATTTGATATTCTTTTTTCATGCATTTAGAGAAACAAAAACACAAAGAGGGATTAGTGGAACCAAATATATATCATCGACATAAATTTGGACTAGAATGATATGACCATTGACTTTCCTAAGAAATAGGGTTTGATCAATCTTTACATGGACAAATTTATCAGAGATGAGAAATAAAGAAAAGGTGTCATACCAGGCACAAGGGGTCTGTTTTAACCCATAAAGAGCTTTATTCAATCGATAGAAATGAG